GACATCAAGGACATCATACATGAAGAAAGCAAGAGGTCATTAAAAAGACAGGAAAGAAAGAAAAGACCAAAATGGATGTCAGAAGAAACTCTGAAACATGCTCTTGAATGTTGAGTAGCTAAAGCAAACAGAAGAAATCATGAAGTAAAAGAGCTAAACAGAATATTTCAAAAGGCAGCTTGAGAAAACAAAGTATTGTAATGATGTGCAAAAACATGGAGTTAGAAAACCAACAGGGAAGAATACGCTAGGCATTTCTCAAGCTGAAAGAACTGAAGAAAAAATTCAAGCCTTGAGCTGCAATAGTGAAGGAATCTAAGGGGAAAATATTAAATGACTAAAGAAGCATCAAAAGAAGATGGAAGGAATACACAGAATCACTATACCAAAAAGAATTGGTCAACCTTCAACCATTTCAGGAGGTAGCATATGAACAGGAACCAATGGTATGGAAGGAAGAGGTCCAAGCAGTACTGAAGGAAATGGTGAAAAACAAGGCTCCAAGAACTGATGGAGTAACAATTGAGATGTTTCAACAAAGAGATGCAGCACTGCAAGTGCTCACTCATCTTTACAAAGAAATTTGGAAGACAGCTACTTGGCCAACTGAATGGAAGAGATCCATATTTATGCATATTCCAAAGAAATGTGATCCAATCAAATGCAGAAATTATGGAACAATATTGTTAATATCACATACAAGTAAAATTTTGCTGAAGATCATTCAAAAGTGGCTGCAGCAGTACATCAACAGGGAACTGTCAGAAATTTAAGCTGGATTCAGAAGAGAATGTGGAACCAGAGATATCATTTGCTGATGTCAGCTGGATCCCAGCTGAAAGCAGAGAATACCAGAAAGATGTTTACCTGTGTTTTATTGACTATGCAAAGGCATTAAACTCTGTAGATCATAACAAATTATGGATAAGATTGCAAAGAATGGGAATCCCAGAACACTTAATTGTGCTCATGAGGAAACTGTACATAGATCAAGAGGCAGTCGTTAGAACAGAGCAAGAGGATACTTCGTGGTTTAAAGTCAGGAAAGGTGTGTGTTAGGCTTGTATCCTTTCACCATACTTATTCAATCTGTATGCTGGGCAAATAATCCGAGAAGCTGGACTATATGAAGAAGAATTGGGCATCAAGATTGGAGGAAGACTCACTAACAACCTGCCTTATGCGGATGACACAACCTTGCTTGCTGAAAATGAAGAGGACTTGAAGCACTTACTGATGAAAATCCAAGACCACGGCCTTCAGTATGGGTTACACCTCAACATAAAGAAAACAAAAATCCTCACAACTGGACCAAAAAGCAATATCATCATAAACGGAGAAAAGATTGATGTTGTCAAGGATTTCATTTTATTTGGATCCACAATCAACATCCATGGAAGCAGCAGTCAAGAAATCAAAAGATGTATTGCATTGGGCAAATCTTCTGCAAAAGACCTCTTTAAAGTGTTGGAACGCAAAGATGTCACTTGAAGACTAAGGTGTGCCTGACCCAAGCCATGGTGTTTTCAATCACCTCATATGCATGCAAAAGCTGGACAATTAACAAGGAATATGGAAAAAGAATTGACACCTCTGAATTATGGTGTTGGCGAAGGGTATTGAATATACCATGGACTGCCAAAAGAATGAACAAATCTTTCTGGGAAGAAGTACAGCCAGAATGCTCTTTAGAAGCAAGGATGGCAAGACTGTGTCTCACGTACTTTGGACATGTTATCAGGAGGGATCAGGCCCTGGAGAAGGATATCATGCTTGGTAAAGAAAAGGGTCAGTGAAAAAGAGGAAGACTCTCAACGAGATGGACTGACACAGTGGCTGCAACAATGGACTAAAGCGTAACAACTATTGTGAGGATGGTGCAGGACTGGCGGGCAGTGTTTCATTCTGTTGTATGTAGGGTCGCTATGAGTCGGAACTGACTTGATGGTACCTAACAACAAAAATGGAGATAATATTTCAGAAAACAGTTGTTTAAAAATATTTACATTTTTATGTGGTTTTATTACCAGAAAATGACAATATGTCAACTTTAAAAATTTATATCTGCACACTTAAAAATATATGGAAATAGAAAGTTGTAATCAGTTTATAATTCTTTCAAAGCTTGATCCTATTTGTTATAAATTCAAACATGTAGCACCTGCCACTGATTTTACAAGGACAATTGATTGATATCAATGAGAATGGAAATTTACTAGCCAATATCAATGCAAATCTTTGCATAAGTAGAGTACGGGATCAAAAATAAGTTGCATGGATTTGAAAGAGCAATCAGTGATGCTTTGTTTCCACTTAGTCTGGAAATCTTGTGAAGATATCTTTTTAAACAATGACAGCATGATAAAACCAATGGGAATAAGCCAAACTCAGAACCAGACCTCAAATGAGTGCCACAAAGAGTAAACTAAGATTTTCTAAATATATGCAGTATATTCAGTTACTATTTTAGTCAGAGATTCTAAGACTATTTTAAAATATAGTTTATTTCATACTTAATATATTTGTGCTTGTTTTATAATGTGCATATTAATTAATTCAATAACGCATGTATATAATTCACAAATAAATACACAAATTGAGGATGCATGTTCAATCTTTGACTCAAAGTGGTGTTGAATCAAAATGTTTGGACCTCATTGATCTACTTTGTTCACTTACTTTATAAGTGAAGAAATCAAGGACAAGATTAGTAAAGATACTTGTTCAACATTATACAACTAGATATTTTCATGGTTAAGACAGGGATCCTGGTTTCAAGATACTGTCTGAAACTCTCAGTTTCCAATGCCTTCATAAGTCATGGCCAAAATTTGGCCATAGGAAGGGCTATCATTAAGGAAGAAGTCATAAGTACCCTAACAGTTTGGAATACTTGGAAAGAAAGAAGTCAAGGCAAAATCTGGAGAATGTAAGGATTTCAGTCACTGGGAGTCATCTCCGTTTATCTTTTATGCTTCTATCTCTTTCTTTGTCTGAGTGCACCATCCCACTTTCCAAGTGCTGGGATCTTTGTAATGATCACGGGTGGGACTGAAGGTCTCTCCTACATGGCTGGGCATATTGCTAATTGCCACCACCGGCTGGAAGTAGGAAATATGAGATGCCTTAGTGTCCCTGTTGAAGAAAAATTTTGTTTGGGGATACTGAGAATAACAGATCACATGAGACCCCAGCACTCAAGAAGTCCTTCTAGAATGAATTTGGAGAAAGTGAGAAGGCCAGGCAGGTCATTAGAATCTAGAGACCATGAGGGAGCCCTGCTGCTCTGATGGCTGTGAGTATCTGCCAGGAGGGACACTATACTTAGCAATCCAGGAAGCGAAGTAGGGATTTAGATTGGCTGGAGGTAGGGGCAGAAAACTTTGTCAAGGAATGATCTGGTCATTTGTTCCTGTACAAAGGAATTCAGATATAAGGGTTTCTATAGGATTCAGCTCCTTTGTCAGTAATTGCTGAACCATCATATATCTGGCATTTTTGGAAGGTCTTTGTGCCTTTACTAGAAAGACTGTGTGGAATATGTGGCTGTTGATGACAATGGTGGAGGAAATAAAGGAAGAGTCTAAATTATTGAACTTGTAGCCACAAGGATGAATACCAGAGATCCCAAGTGAAGGCAGAAAAAGTACGGAGTCTGCTGAGATGTCACACAAATAGCTCAGTGGACCTCTGTGAGAAAACATAGTCTGTTCTTGGCTGTAACTGCTGTAGGTGTATTCTACTTACCTGTGACATTGAGTGTCACTTGGTGACTGCGCTGGGCCCTCAGGCCATTGTCGGCCTCACAGGAGTAGTTTCCAGAATGCTCTGCAGTCAGAGAGAGGTTGAAGGACACTCTTCCTCCAGAGGGGGCCGAGTTGTTCCCCAGGATGACATCCTCATGATAGAACCGGTACAGGATCGGGGGAGAGCCTCTCTGGGCCTCACAGTGAAGCTCCACCACATCCCCCACCACACCCTGGGCCCTGGGAGTCCAGAGGGTGAGGACAGGACGAGACACTGGAACTGACAAAGACAAAAGGACTGTCAGAGAGGCTCTCTGATGCTGTGACAAATTTATAACTCTAGTCAAGGAGCCTAGAACTGACATATCTCTAATAGTTTCTGCTTCCCACTGACCATACTTTGCTCATCTAATAATCGGAAGCATTTTCCTAAAAACGCGAGGAGTAATTCTGGGTAATTTTGTTTTCATCACTACTCAGTCTCCTCCACAATAAGTAAGGTGTCTTCAACTTATTTTGCCATCTTTAGATAGCTTTTAAATCTTCACACCTCTGTTCTTCTACCTCCTTCTAAAGATCCTCATGGTTAAAAGAGTGCTACACCTTGGTTTGAGAACCACCGGCTGAGTGAGAGGCATAGTAATTTACCTCTCACGATGACTGCAATCCACTTGCTGAGGATGGGGCCGTGAACGTTGTCAGCTGTACAGTAGTATCTGCCAGCATCGCTTTCCTTCACAGCGAGGACTGGCAGCTCTGCCCGCAAGGAACGCTCCGTCTTTCTTCCCAGACTTACTCTGCCTTCTCTGTGCCAGGAGAATGTGATAGTGCCTGTACCCTTGGCTACAGAGCAGACAAGGACTAGATCTTCTCCTTCGATCACCTGCCCCCCAGGGGCTCGGACCTCTAAATTCACATCAGACACAGGGATTCCTGGAGGACACCAGCAACAAGTGCAACAGGCAAGAGGTGAAAATAGGAAATAAGGAATTAATTGTGCATATTATTATAAAGGGAGCAACACCCTGCCCTCTTCCAGCACACACACAATTCCCATTCTTGGAGAATGTGGGCACCAGATCCATGATCTTCCTAAATCTAATGTTGGCTGCAGTAACATTTTATGGACATTTATCTCTTAGGAACCCTTAACCTGAAGTGAGTCTACTCAGAATCCACATTTCCCTCTTATCCTTCAAGAGTCCTCTAGTCACACTTCCATTTCCCCAAAGTTCTTCTCTAGTTCTACTTCCAGTTCATGCTTATCTCCCTCTTTTCTGATTACTTTGGTTTACATTTAGGTCCACAAATGGAAGCACCATTGTGACCTCTAAAGACTATATGTGGTCAGCTGTGTTTCTAGTTGTCTGTTAACTCACCAGAGAATATATCCTATATGTCTCTGTAATGTCCATAGGGTTGGACACCCAGTAAGTGATCAGTAACTGCTACTATCCAACTTAGGTGGAAGAGAATTGTGATGGTTAAGAATATGTGTCAGCTTGGCTGGGCCATGATTTTCAATGTTATGCAGTTATGTAATGATGTAATTTGGCAATTATGTAATGATGCAATTTGGCAGTTATGTAATGATGCAGTTATACTCTATTTTGTGGTATAATGTAATCATCTCCATGAAGTGATGTGATCAGTCAATCAGCTGTAAGGGGAGTTTCCTTGGGGGTGAGGGGCTGCATCCAATATATATGGATGCTCTGGCAAAGCTCTCTGGCTTTTGCTTGCTCTGGATCTTGCACCTGGCTCATCATCATCTGACCTCCAGTTCTTGGGACTTGAGCCAGCAGGTGCCGTATCGCCTGCTAATCTTGGAATTCATCGATCTCTACAGCCAGTGAGCCAGCAGCTTGCTGTCTTACCTGCTGATCTTGGATTCATCAGCCTTCCAGCTTGAGAGCCAGCAGCCTGCTATATGACCCGCCAATCTTGGGTTCATCAGCCCCTGCAGCTACGTGAGGCAAGAGAAGCCTCCAGCCTGATGCCTGAGCCGTGGACTTGGGACTTGCTAGCCTCTACAACTGTGTGAGCTATTTCCTTGAGATAAATCTCTGTGTGTATATATCTATATTTATCTATCTATCATCTGTATAAGTCACTGGTTTTCATCTCTAGAGAACCCAGCCTAAGACAAGAGTGTTCTAAGGAAGTAAGTTATGCCAATATGAAACATAAAGAGGGAGGGATAAAAAGAGAGCTGGAAGCTCTGCTCTATTATGTCACTGTTCCAGGAGACAGGAGATGCCACTGCTCTACTCCCCTCTCTCCATCTCTGACTCTGGACAAGCAGCCCCATGAACACTCACTCTGCACATAAATCTGAGATGGGAGGCTCCGCTTTCTGATCGTGGAACTTATTGTCTGTGCCTCACACCAGTAAGATCCTGAGTCTTCGGTCCACATGGTGGGGATCTGGAGCGCTGGGGACCTGCTCCAGCCTGCTCCCAGGGCCTGGCTTCCTCTGAAGAAGCAGAATTGAAGTTGAATGTGTGACCTCTGTGGAGGGAGCCAGGTCTCACATTTCAGGGCCACTGGTCTCCCCTCTATGGGCTTGGAGGGTCTGGCTGTCAGCTTAGGAGGCGAAAACAGCTCTAGAGAGAAGAGCAAACACAATCCTCAGGACAATGAGGCTCAGAGCTCCTGGAGATGAACCCCTGTGTTCTCAGCATTGGCTGTCAGGAGATAGAGAACCAGGGGGATGGAACCACCTCCCGTCTCCTATGGCTGGGCCATGAAGCTCTTCATGAGATTCCCCGTAATGAACACTCTCCCTCAATCCTCACACAGTGTTTTCCTGCCAAGCCCTATTACCCACAGGAGTGTAGTCATTACCTTGAACTTGAATTCTTAGATGATTTGAATGTTCTGTCCATTCGTATAGGGTCCATGCGTTTTCCCCAGAAGCAATACAATAATATTCGCCATTGTCCCTAGAGACTGAAAATAGTGTGAAACACTTTTTGTTCTCATACTCATCAAGTTTTTTTTTATCCTTGTAGTAAATCCTGTCAATAATTTCATTGTCTTCTTTCCCCTGGCATCTCAGATCTACATTGTCTCCTTCAAAGACAGGGTATGAAGCCTGGAGGATTAGCCAGCCTGCAAAGAGATGGAGGAACACATTCAATTTATCCCCTACTGCTTCTTTCTTCCAGTTCTCATTTCTGCCCAAGAGGGAAGAGCTACAGCTCTGTACCTGCCTGAAAATGTTATACCCCACATTTGCACATGGTCCCAATACCCAATTCTTCCTTGCCCTAGAAAGTGGACTGATTCTCAGAAGATGCCCTTGAGAGATTTTCATGTTGTTGTTGGTTTCTGTTGAGTCAAACTGTCAGAGTAAAATGTGCTCCATAGAGTTTTCATGGCTTTGACATTTAGGAAGCAAATTGCCAGGTCTTTCTTCCAAGGCACCTCTGGGTGAATTCGAACCATCATCCTTTTCATTAATGACTGAGTTCTCAACCACTTGTGGTACCCAGAGTTCCTCATACTTATCCTTAAACAAAAGCAGAATTTTATCCCATGCTTTTCTTCAGATCTCTTTTTGATCTAGTGGCCACTGGTATGCCAACAATTCTCTGGATGGATAAGATGGGCAATGCAGTGTCCTGCTGCTGCCCTATCTTCTTATTTCCCCCCTGGGTCAGCACATCAAATATCCCCATGCCTGTTTACAGCTCTGTCTGGGATCCCTGCATTAACCTAGCCCTCAAACACTCTGCCAACTTTGACTTCAAAGACTCCCCTTTCTTTCCTCACCAGATACAAAGACCACATCCATGGGGTCACTGAGAGAGGATCCTTTGGTCTTGCATTTGTACTTTCCAGATTTTTCTACTTGGAGCTCTTCAGAGTCTTCTTTCAACAATTTCTTCTCATGATACCAAGATGTGTCTCCCAAAGCTGGGGAGTGGGATCCCTTACATGTGAGAGTCACTGTCTGTCCTTTGAAGACTGGGAACCATGTAGGTTGAAGGAGAACCATTGCTTTTGGAGCTTCTCCTGAACAGGAAATAGAAAGATGAAGGCAGGTAAAGGTGAATGGGGGTGGGTACAGAACAGAGGAGGGCCTAGCCTTGGAGCTAGGAGTCTGCCTGGACTAATTCCAAGTCACCACCAAGTTGGAAATTGAGCAGAACCAACCTGAGGAAAGGCCTGGGACAAAATCTGTACCTCCTCCTCCAATGCCTTGCCTGGAGGTTTGCAGGTGGGTGTTATAGGGAATAGGTTTCAGGTCCCTATTGAGGTCTCAGAAAAGCCCAAGAGATGTGATTTGTAGTTGGGCAAACACTGTGAGGGCCTCAAGAAGTGGACTGATTCTGAAATGCTCTTGTTCTGTACTTTCCTGCCCAGATAAGGATGAACCTGAGATGTAGATACTCCAGGAGCATTTCTACACTCTAGAAAACCATTTTCTACTTGATTGTTGACATTTAATGAACAAGTTTTTTTTTCACTTTCAATACTTTTAAACCTTGCTTAGTTGAAGATTCTAGGGGAAGGCAACTTCTCTCCACTTAAACCATCTAAGTTGGACTTGATCAATAATTGAGGGATACAATGAATTTAAATGAATGAGGCTGGGCTGCTTGAGAAATCAGACTGGTGTATAGAATTGCAACTGACTGATGGGCCCAGATGTTGAGACGTGATAATAACACGAGCTCCTTTTTTGAAGTATGTAAGGATTTGGCTGTAACATTTACCTTTGCGAATGGGAGCAATTACGATGTCCTTTGAGAGTAGCAACTAGTTTGGACATACAGAGGGACGTGCTTCAGGGTATAGGGGAGATCAGGTCTGAAGCTCTCTCAATATCCGCCATCTGCCTCTGCTCTTCAGGCTGCAAACGTTCCCTTCCTCTCTACACTGCGGTGCCCCAGTAATGGAGAAGGAACTGGAGGTTGGAGAAGCCAAGGGAGGATCTGCTAGTCCAGTGTAATAACAGATATGACCTCAGGCTAGCAATACCACTGCTGTTGCTACATCCCTGCAGCTGTCGTCTACAGGGCAGGGACAAGCGATGCTGGCTGAGGTGATCAACACCCAGAGACCATGAGGAACAGACAGGGGAAAACTTACCAGATTGTTCACCTCCGGGAGCTGCAAGGGAGCCAAGAGTCCAAGATTAGCACGTTGTGTTTGCCAAACTTTTATAATTAGAAACTCTCAGAAATTTCCTAACAACACAGCCACAACTGCTTCTTTAGTTTTTCCTTCCTATTTTTTCACTCCCACTCCACACCACCCATTGCCCCCAAGCAACATTAGTTAATTAAAGTCTATGTTTTCCAAAGAGGAAATGGCTTGTATATACAACCCTGGCTCATCTCTTTGCTATTCCATTCTCAGCAGCTTTGTACTTTATCCCCTCCTCTCCTCTCCAGCCTGAAATCAGCAGTGTAGAGGCAGAAAATGGCTTGAAGAAATGGTTTATCCATCCTTCATTTTTTTGGCATTGTTGTTCCTACTTTTTCAGCCTCTGGTTAAATTTTGGCTTAAAATCGAAGGAAGGGTCATGTTTCTCAGTTGATCTTCCCTCCTCACCTAAGTTTTGGAAATTAACTGTTTATCTGAAAAATTTAGTTTGAAGCTGGGACAGAGGGAGGGATGTAGAGTTGTGGTTTGGCAGAAAGAAAAATTCAAGTTTGCTATGAGACTAAAAAAGAAATGGGTGAGCAACAAAGGGTAACACACTTGGTTTGTCCTGATGTTTTTGTTTGGAACCTTTTGGTTTTCCTGCTCTGCTCATTCCCATTTCTTGCTGTCTGTCTCTGAAACTCTGAGCGGAAGCAGAGACAGAAAATCCCCAACGTCCCCCCTGACAGATCTAAGGAGCTGAGGTCACTGACCCTGCCTGGCCGTCTACTCACCCAGGATCAGCAACAGCAGCAGACACAGACGCATGGAGACCTGCCTGTCTGTCTCACCAAACGTCAGGCTTATCTTCTATCCAAGGAGGAAGACTGGTGGTTGCTGCTCAGATGAGGTCAGAAAGAATTAGAAAAGCGGAAGCAGCAGAACTTAATACCATATCCTGCCTTGAGTTCTGAAAATGTGACTGTCTTCTGAAAAGCTGTTCGTATTTCAATCCTGGCAGCGGTGAATCTCAGATGATTTTTTAAAGGAGTCACCTTCCCACAGGACGGGGTTCTCAGGAAAAACGTCTCCAACATTGTCCCTGAGTTCTCTGAAAATGCCAAGCTGTGGATTTGCTAGCATTCAAATAACTTTTTCTTCATTTTCCAAATGGGCAAACCTTTGATGAACTAAATTCATACAGCCTTAAGTTCCTCATAAAGCTCCTAATATAGACACACCTCACAAACATGGTGACTTGCAACTGTTATATGGTTTGAACCACACAAAGTCCAGGTGTCAAAGCAGACACAATAGCCTTTTTGACCTTAAGCATAAGTTTGCATGAAGCTGCTGAACAGAAAAATAATAGAAATTTGCAGATAAGTTAAAGGGGCTGTCCCATAGCCCCAGCCAGATCTGTACAAGCATACAAGAACCCCTATTTTCAAACGAGAGCCTTGCAGAGTGGCCTTGCCTAGTCTTGCATTCAGAAGTCCCCACTTCATTATTTTCTGTTTCTGGCCCCTATGTGCTTTTTTTCACATTTACCAAAATTTGTCATTATTTTCTCTAATTTCTTACTTACTTGTTTTTGTCTCTTTCTCCCCTAGTAACATAGAAGATCCCATGCTTGTCTTATGCACCATTATATCCCCTGTGCCTCTCATTATTCTTTCCTCAAAGTAGATATTCCATAAATATTTTGAGGGAGCATTGGATGGACTGTGAGAAACTCTGGACCAGTGTTTCTCAACATTTTTTTCATTATTGCCCCCAAGGAGCTTTTTTTTTTTTTTTAAAGACCTGGTTGTACAGTGGTTAAGTGCTTGCCTGTTAACCAAAAGATTGGCAGTTCGAACCCAACAGCCACTCCATGGGGGAAAGATGTGGCAATCTGCTTCTGTAAAGATTTCTAGCCTTGGAAACTCTATGGGGAGAGTTCTACTCTATTCTACAGGGTTGCTATGATTTGAAATTTGACTCAACAGCAATGAGTTTTTTTATGGGAAGTAGCTTTTTAGATTTCTTTTTCCTAGTCATCCCCTTCCTTCATGAAATTTTAATACCGTGTATATACTGAATACCTGTTTATGTACTTTATGTATATCTATGCTTTATACATAAAAAGAGTAAGATTTTTTTTCACCTCTCCAACAACCAATTTTTGCCCCCGTGGGAGTGATATCACCTCTGTTGGAAACACACGCTCTAGACATAGAAATAGACTTTTCTCAGCCATCTAAGTCAAGAGATAGAAAGTTATGATCATTCAAAGAGACCTCTGCATTAGAGGCAAAAGCTGATCTCAGATCAATGTCCCTTCCTTGAAAAGGTCGTACCTGAGCCTATAGTGTGAAGCAGATCCTCTTCTTTAACCTAACAGCACTCAACTCTTCCTCCATGGTGCACATACATATATTCATGTGATTGTGTAATATCCTCTTCTCCCATTAGATCGTAGTGCCCAAGGGGTGGAAATGTGTCTGATTTGCTTTCCATTTGTTTCAGTGCCTAGCAGAGCATTTGCCAAGTACTAAGTCGTCAGTAAATCCTTGCTAAATGAGTGAATGACCAATAAACAAGAAAGAGCAGGATGACAAGGAAAGGGATTGAAGGTATCACGTTTTAGTCACTCCTGGATAAAGATTTCTCCAGTATTCTGGAGAAGAGGTATTGGTTCTGTATATTTATCTAAATTACATTAAACTGATTATAAAATTGTACCCAGTTCATTCCATAGTATGGGGTCATTGCCAACTAATAATTTTAGAGTGTGGGTGCCACTTCTTCTAAAATGTCTTTCCTGACCTCCTAAGCTGGAGTTAGTTGTCCCTTTTAAGTGCTTCAAGAAAATTTTGAGATTTCCTTCACCACAGAGCTTATCACAGTGAAGTGTAGGTTTCTATCTGGCAATCTTCCTTGGTAGTAGAAGAATCTTTAGGGAAAGAAATGATTCTGGCTCACTATTGATTTCTCTGTGCCCAACATAATCATCGATAAAATGAAGGCTCAACTGATCAGGGATAGTTTTGGTATATGGCATGTGACAGTCAGTCTTATTCTACACATGAGCAAATGCAACTGGTTTTATGGTCCAAGATAAAGGTGCTGATGATTACTGCTACCAATTTTTTCCTGTGGTGGCAAGAGATGCTCAAAAAGCAGGCTTTGGGATTTTATTGTCGATCTGGCATTGTCTATTGGCTTTTCTAGCTCTGCCTCTGTAGAGCAGGAACTGGATTATGTTCATTTTATATTCCCAGAACCTAGCACAGTGCCTGACTGATACCTAGCTTATGGTTATCAGATAAAATACAGGGTGCCCAGTTAAATTTGAATTTCAGGTAAACAACAAATAATTTTGGTAGAAGTATGTCCCATGCAATATTTGGGATATGCTTATACTAAAAATTATTCACTATATAGGAAATTCAAATTTAATTGGACATCCACCAACTCTGCTCCTCTCTCTGCTCCTTAACTCACTCCACCCAGGGAGTGGTGAAATGACTTATCTGATTGGTAAATTTGGGAAGAATAAATTAAGCATGCTTAACTCAGCTCCATGTTTTTCCCCTTGAATGCAAGTCTGCTGCTAGAGGGGTCAGTGAACAGGCACAGACCTGCCCCTGCACTTGGGAGGTGGGGGGGTGGGGTGCCTAGAGTTTTAAAAGCAAATTCTTAGAGACACAAACAATTGGTGCATGGGCTTAGAATGAAGAGAAATACAAACAAAGGAGCAAAAATACAGGGAGCCATATGTTCTCAAGGAGAAACTTTTGGTGGGACAAGCACTTGTGGCTTTCAACCTTAGGCTGTAGGAAGAGATCAGAGCATTGTGACTACGGAGCTTAAAGAGGCTTGTAGTGGACTTTTAAACTTCACTACTAAACCCAGGTAAGAGGCCTGCTGTCTTAGGGCCATGGTTTTGTGAACTTGGTGGGTGACATCAGCTTGTGGAGGCCTCGTTCATAGACTAGTTGTTGTTTCTATAGAGGCAGGACTATACCCATGGGTGGTGATAAGCAAAAGGCACAATAACTCCATCGGGGCCTCAAGAGAGCTGTGAAGGCCTTTGTAAGCAAGGACAGAGGAGGCAAGGGTTTAACTGTGGACAGCAGACACATGGGTGGCCACAGGGACTGCCTAGCAACAAAGTCTTGGGGGCTGTGAAGGGGGCTTGCAATCATTAAGGTTGTAAGTCAGCTTGGCCGGGCCATGATTCTCAGTGGTTTGGCAGTTGTGATGTAGTTTGGTAGCTGTATAATGATAAGATCACCTCCATAATGAGATCTGATGTAATCTAATCACCTCCATGATGGGATCTGCTGTGAGTAGCCAATCAGTTGAAAGGGAATTTCCTCGGCTGTATGGCCTGCATCGCATAGGTGGACTTTCTGGCAAGGCTGGTGGGCTTTTGCTCTCTCTGGGTCCTGCAGCTGGCTCCTGTTCATCTGACTTCTGGTTCTTGGGACTTTAGCTAGCAGCTTACCTGCCATCTTGCCTGCAGATCTTGGGATTCATCCATCTTCACAACCTGTGAGCCAGAGCCTCGCTGTCTGACCTGTCAATCTGGGGTTCACCAGCCCCTGCAGCTACATGAATCAGGAGAAGCCTCCAGCCTGACCCATGGACTTGGGACATTTCAGCCTGTACAACTGCATGAGCCATTTCCTTAATATAAATCTCTCTACATATATATTTATACATTTTACTGATTTTGCTTCTCTAGAGAACTCAGCCTAAGATGGGGCTCAAAAAGTTTCATGGTGGCCTGAGTAGGGTTTCTTAGACAGTCATGTCTGAGGCAAACAGCCTTTTTTAGGGAAAATTGAAGTCTTCACTGCTTTTATACTTGACTGGAATAATAGTTTTTAGTTTTTTGGCTGTACAGTTCTTGTGTGCTAAAGAGCTCCAATAAGGACCTAGCTTCAAATCATTAGTGCCATACCCAGGTAACAGGGTAAAACTGCTCCATAGGATTTCCAAGGCTGTAAATCTTTACAGAAGCCCATGGAGCAGCTGGTGGGTTCGAACTGCCAACGTTTTGGTTAGCAACCAAGCACTTTAACCACTGTGCGACCAGGGCTCTTGTGTATACCCGAGTAGGCTCTATTAGTCACGTCAAATTCCATCCTGCATTCAGGCCCAAGGAGGAAACTGGAAGGACCAATTCTGAATTCATGTAGTCTTTGCTAGGCTCAAGAGTGGAAAATATTTAAGGAGTTAACATTTTTCCCTTTTTTAATATTTTTCCCTTTTTGATATTTCTAAAGAAGAAATTGAAGTTCAAAGACTAAAGCCTCTTGTAAGAAAAATTCCAGACACATTAAAATGCAAAAAAAAATTAAAGTCTGAAATCAAATTGTCTCTTGTGAGTGACTCCCTTCCTCTGATTTCTTATTCTGCTTAATATCAGCTGAGAGAAGTTTCAAGACTCTATAGTTATTATAGTTGGGCTTACAGATGGTGCCTGTATCCTACATACAAATAGCTGATCAATTTTTGGAATTCAAAATGGGAGAAAAGTCAGTTTCCTGAGGTACACATTTGGGAAGGATTGGTTCTCACTGGGCCCTTTGGGGCACAGGCTTCAGAAATATCCACAGCAGTATCATTTCAGGAATCTGTTGAGGTTTATTTTCCAACTGAAACAGATATGGGGACAAGGTGAAAATATTTCAGAGGAGGTAGGCTTCTCTGACCAATACAATTCCGCAAAAACCAACAGCCCATCTGCTTGCTCGAGAGTGCAGACACTGTGTCCCTTAAGAGATCCCTCACTCAATTGATAACAGCTCACAGAAGCACCTTAATCGAAGGGGAAGTGAAATGACAGAGATTTGCATATATGAAATGGGAAAGAAATGTACAGAGGTGGTTTCCACTATTTTGGTGGTTTCCAAAATAGTAAATGCTTAGTGTCAAAATTTACTTTGTGCTGGAAGGTTTATCACAATTGAGTTTAAACTCAAAGGTTCTGGGTCAACTAGCATCAACTGACTATCAGCTGAACTAAACAAAGAATTTATTTATTCTGCTTTCCTCATTTGTGATTGGACCTCAGCTGTGGTGTGTGGAGACTTTATATACGGGTTCTGGGAGTAGAAGGTTGCTTGGGATTAACTAAGAGTAGGGTGGGGCTGGGGATTGGCCTTTTTTTCTTTTCTTTTTTTTAATTTGTGGGTGTGGAGACTGTGCTCTGATAATCTTATATGTCCTGTTAATTCTTTGAACTCTCTAAGAGCGTGGCTCATGAGAGTCTTGGCAAATACAACCTCTGAGATCCTGGAAAAAAATTATTCAGTTCCACTATGAGACAGTCCAGACAGCATTGCTGAAACAACCCCAACTCCATCTAGATACTGAGAACCTTCTCTCAGCTGATATTAAGCAGAATAAGAAGTCAGAAGAAGGGAGTCACTCACAAGAGACAATTTGATTTCAGACTTTAATTTTTTTTGCATTTTAATGCGTCTGGAATTTTTCTTACAAGAGGCTTTAGTCTTTGAACTTCAATTTCTTCATTAGAAATATCAAAAAGGGAAAATATTAAAAAAGGGAAAAATGTTGAAAAGGCTTATATTAAAATTTGGAGCCTCTCAATATTGTTGTATTTTATTATTGAAAGATCTGATGCTGTTGTTTAACCTCATGGCAGACTTCTGAGCTGCTTATTAGATTTCATTTGGGATAAGAAATGTAATTAGTAGCAAATTTTCAGTCTTGGATGCCAAATGACATTGGTGTTATTTAATTAACATATTTTTTCTCATG